TCCCCGCTCGCCGACGCGCGTCCCGCCGTCCCTCGGACTTTCGGGAAAAGGAAACACCCGAGGCCGCGCTCCGTCCCCCGCGCCCCGCGCCTCCTGGGCGCCTCGACAGGTGTTCGCGGCACAGCCCCGGCAGGGGCCGGCCCGGCCCAGTCCGATGGCGGAGGCGGCACCCACACACCAAGCCAGACCTGCCCCCTCGGTGGCTCATTTCCTCGACGGCGCGGTGCTGCGACGGATTCCTTTTCTTTTTTTTTGAGTTGGAGTCTCACTCGGTCGCCCAGACTGGAGTGCAGTGGCCGCTCCCGGCCACCGCAGCCTCGACCTGCTGGGCTCCGGCGATCCTTCCGCCTCGGCCTTCCGAGTGGCTGGAACTACAGGCGCGCGCTACCACGCCCGGCTCATTTTGATTATTGTAGAGATGAGGTCTCGCCACGTTGTCCAGGCGGGTCTCAAACCCGCGGGCTCAGGCAATCCACTCACCTCAGCCTCCCAAATTATAGGCTGAGCCACCAAGCCCAGCGGGATTCCTTTTCAAACCAGATGGGCACTGGGGCCACGGGCACCCGCGATAGCACCTGGCGCCGTCCAGCCCTGGGTGGGAAGCTGTATGTGCGCATGCAGAGGGGAGCCTGGGAGGCTCCTGCCGCTCCGCTCCATCCTCAGCTGCAGCACCTGTTGCTCCCCCAGAGCAAAGTCAAAAAGGGGTGCTCCCCCGCCGCAGACTGCCTTTGGAGAGCGCAGCAGCCTACCTGCACTCTGACCCATCAGCCGTGCTCTAACACGCCCACCAAGGCCAGGTGCGGTGGCTCACCCCTGGCATCCCAGCACTTTGGGAGTCGGAAGCGAGAGGATTGCCTGAACCCAGGGGTACGAGACCAGCCTGGGCAACTTGGCGAGACCTCATCTCTACAATAAATCAAAAAATTAGTCAGGCATGGTGGCGCGCGCTTGTGGTTCCGGCTACCTGGAAGGCTGAGGTGGGAGGATCACCTGAGTCCAGCAGGTCGAGGCTGCAGTGGCCGTGACTGTGCCACCGCACTCCAGCCTGGGCAACAGAGTGAGACTCCAACTCAAAAAAACAAACCTAACGTGCAGACCTGACCTCCCTTGCCCCCTATGGCTCCCTAGTGTCCAAGTCCAAATGACAGCCAAGGACATGCAGGCCCCTCCGCTGAATGAGCTGCGATGCTTGGCCCACACTTCCAAGCCCTTCAACAAACTGAATCAGACTCCCAAAGCGGCTTCCTCCAGGAATCCCTCCTGGACACCCTCATCTGAGTCAGGAGCTTCCTGTAGCTCTCCCATCCACCTTGTTCACTGCTGGCCCGGCCCAGAGGCGCAGAACAGGCATGTAAACTATTTTGCAAACAATTTGGCAAGTGAGCGAAGGGGGAAGCCAGGGTTCAGAGAGGCTGAGCAACTTCTCTCAGGCCACACGGCTCCTAACTGCCCAGCAGAAGCCTCCTCGGCGCCTTCCGGCAGACCCCACCACCACGCCCCACAGCCTTCTTGTCAGACCACCCTCCCTCCTAGGAAAGGATGGCATTTCCCCCGGGGGCCCTGGAGAGGGAGAGTGACTTGTCCTAGATCGCCCCGCGAGGGGCTCAGCCACCAGCCTGGGCCCGGTCCCCTCCAGGGCAGCCCCCCACCCGGTCACCTGCACAGCCACCGGCACCTCCTCGGCGGTGGCCCGCGTCCTGCGTCCTGGTCTTGTCAGGCCGCGCCAGCTTCTTGCCAGCCGAGTTCCGGGTGGTGTAGCTGTAGACGGAGGTGTAGCCCTGGCCCGTGAGCGGGCAGAAGCGGCGGGTGTGGGCGCGGTCACGCGTGGCGCCACACTGGGGGCACACGTAGTCGCGCAGAATGGGGCACAGCACCCTGCCCGCCTCGTCCTTCAGCATGTGGGACTGGTAGATGGCCCGGGACTCCCCATTGTGCTTGCAGAAGGAGCACAGGCGTTCGGGCGCCGGCAAGGACTCCAAGCTGGCCTTCTGGGCTCCTAGCTCCGACTGGGGGTCCAGCGGGGTCTCGGGGTCCAACCTGGTCTCAGGGTCCAGCCTGGTCTCGGGGTCCAGCCTGGTCTCGGGGTCCAGCCTGGTCTCGGGGTCCAGCCTGGTCTCGGGCTCCGCCTCCCTACACAGGGCCCCAACCAGACCCGCTAAACCCAGGTAATCCGTCCACAGGTCGAAGGTCCCCATAGCTGAACCACCCGGGTCAAACGGAAAGGCAGAGAGAAAAGGAACTCTGCCCAGCCCAAGATGCCTCCAGCCCCTTCCCAGCTGGCCCTCCCACCCCTCTCTGGAGCCTGGGAGTCTGGACTGTCTGTTCGCTGCTTTTACAAGCCCAGGGGGCCGAAAGGGGAGGAGCCAGCTGTGGGAGGGTCCTGAGGGCCACAGGGGGGCTTGGTGCCCATCCTGCACGTGCCCAGTGGATGCAGAGCCTCCAGGTGGGCTGGGGGACAGCAGACACAGGGGCCATCTGAGGACTTTGCACCGCGCCCCCAGGGTGCTGCGGGGTACCCTGTCTGTCTCCCCTTGCAAGAGCCCTCTGCCACCACCCCCCAAGCCCAGGGGGTGAGGGGTGGGTGCATGGGTTGAGTGCTCCACCCCCAAAGACCAGCGTGAAGGGACCAGTAACTTAGTAACTTCTCTCTTCCTTCCCCTGGGCTGGGCAGTGGCCAGGTGTCCCTGGGCCTCCGTAGGGGGTGGGGGTGAGATGCCCCAGCCGTCTCCGGGAAGAGCATGGCCCCTGGCCTCTGGCTCATGGGCCAGGAGTGTGCACATCCATTGTCTCCGTGGAGGCCCCATTGAACGGATGAGCAAGCTGAGGTTAGAAGCCACCTGCCCATCAGGTTACAAAGACAGTGCCCAGGGGGTCTCCTCTTCCAGTCCAGGAGGCCCATGAGGCTAGGTGCTGCAGAGGCAGCCCGTCCCTGGCCTGGTGGGGAGGGGTTGAGATGAAATGCTCTAGAGTTGGGGGGAAGCAGAGATTCAGGATGGGCTACGGTGGGGGACCCCAAGCACGTGCAGCTCATGGTTTTCCCTCTCAAGTGAGACCTCAGGAGAGTGGGATGTGCCCAGGAGTCACTCAGGTGGGCACAGGCTCCCAGGTGGCATTTCCTCCATGGGCCCAGAGAGGGAGAGTGTCTTGCACAAGATGACACAGCAAAGCCCGGCCCAACTTCCCCACTCTGGCAACTCTCCTAGAATGCTGTTCTAAGTTCTCCACAGAGATGGTCTCTCCCAGCCCCTGGAGGTGGGTGCTGGGGTTAATCCCACCTCCGTGGGATCAGCGGGCACCAGGATGACAAGGGGGCAACACAGGGGTCTGCAGTCACTGAGCTAGGTGGGTGGAAAGCTGGACCCAGGACTTGGGCACGAGGAAAAGGGGCCAAGCTGCCTCCATACCCCATCCATCCATCCGTCTGTACATCTATCCATCCATCCGTCCATTCATTCAAGAAGCCTTTTATGGCTGGGCAAGGTGGCTCACGCCTGTGATCCCACCACTTTGGGAGGCCAGGTGAGAGGATCGCTTGAGCTCAGGAATTCGAGACCCTAGGCAACAGACCGACACCTCGTCTCTACAAAAAAATTTTTAAATGGGCCAGGTGTGGTGGTCCGCGCTTGTAGTCCAGCTACCCAGGAGGCTAGGGAGGGAGGATCGCCTGAGCCCAGGAGGCAGAGGCTTCAGTGAGCTGTGATCATGCCAAAAAAAAAAAAAGGAAGCGGTTTTTTTTTTTTTTAGTCCTCTGGGGAGCAGAACCCACCACCCTCCTTCAGAAAAGTGTCTCAGTGGCCAGTCCCAGACTCCAGCCCCCCCCACATTCCTAGCTTTATTTCCCAAACACAGTCCGTGTCCACCAAGATCCCAGACACCTGCCCTCTTCCCAAGTGGCTGAGTGATTTGGGAGCCCATTCACCCCCTTCCCCTCCCCCTCAGGCCGAGTCTGGCCCAGTCACAGTGACATTCATCCCCCGGTGGGTCTGGCCTGTGTCCTCACAACCCACCGACAACAATGAATGTTGATTGGGACCTTCGCTGTGGCCTAAGGGGGGATCCACTCAGGCTGGGTGAGGGACTCCCCTGCACCCCCATATCTGGAAGGTGGGGGTCCCGACAGGAGGACGGCAGTTCAGGCCTCAGGGTCCACTCAACGGTCGATGGTTCCAGGCCTCAGGGTCCACTCAACGGTCGATGGTTTGCCTGAGCTGCCCAAACTCACCGACAGGTTGAATGTTCCCCCAAACCCTTGGCAATTTCTCCAGACCTGGGGTGGGGAGCGGGGCAGGGGACCAGGACCCAGACAGGGTGTTGGGGACAGGGGAAGGGATCCCATTCACTCTCATGAAGTCCGCAGACTGTGATTAGGTGCCAACTGTGTGCTCCTAGCTCTGGGAAAAACACGAGGCAAACAATAGGGCAAACATAAATAACAGCAGATATTTACGGAGCCTTTGCAACAAGGACAGTGGGTGGGCGGGGCCCAGGGGTGCTGGCAAAAAAAAAAAAAAAGTAAACTTGGCTACCCCCCCTCCCGTGCGTCAACCGGGGAGACTGAGGCCAAAGGGCACTGCTAGTGAGAGGTGGGGGAGGGATTGAAGTGGCCCCGGAGAGTCTGGCAGCCCGGGCCAGAACCGCCGGCCAGGGGCGTTGATGTAACACAAGGTAAACAGGTTATTTAAATACAATGTAATAGTTCTGTGGGTTCCGGCAGGCCTATTGTTTATGAATCACAACCCTGGGGGTAGTCCAACGCTCCTCTTTGCAAGTGCTCCTCTTTGCAAGTGCTTCGGTGCCTCTGGACTGAAGAGGAGCCAGAGGATCAGGGAGGACACCAAGTCTCACGGCACCTGCGCTCGGACCCTTCTGAAGTCAGTTACGAGGGCTCAAAACGGGCTGTGGTGCCCCCTTCCCATTTCTTCATCCATAAAACACCCCGTCCCTCCCTCCAGGGATCACACCGAGTTTGGCGTCCACCCCCCAGTGCCCTCACGCCGGCAGCTACCCTCCCTTGCCCCCAAAAGCCAAGCAGTGACCAGGGAAAGGGGCGTGCATCCTACCACCTGGGTCTGGAGACAGCCTGGGAAAGAGCATGTTAAATGTCCAGGCCCAAGGATCCCACCTGTAATCCCACAACTTTGGAAGGCCAAGGCGGGAGGATCACTTCAGGCCAGGAGTCCAAGACCAGTCCAGGCAACATCGCGAGACCTCTGTCTCTACAAAAAAAATTTAAAAATTAGGCCGGGCTCAGTGGCTCAGTCTATAATCCCAGCACTTTGGGAGGCCGAGGCGAATGGATTGTCTAAGCCCGCGGGTTCGAGACCTGCCTGGGCAACTTCGCGAGACCTTGTCTCTACAATAAATCAAAAAAATTAGGCGGGCGTGGTAACGCGCGCCAGTAGTTCCAGCTACTTGGAAGGCTGAGGCGGAAGGATCGCCGGAGCCCCGCAGGTCGAGGCTGCGGTGGCCGGGAGCGGCCGCTGCACTCCAGTCAGGGCCTAAGAGTGAGACTCCAGCTCAGAAAGTAAAAATTAGCCCGGCGTGGTGACTTGTGCCTGTAGTTCTAGCTACTGGGGCGGCTGAGTCGGGAGGATCACTTGAGCCTGGGAGGCTGCAGTGAGCTAGGATTAGGACACAGCCTGGGCGACAGGGCGAGACCGTGTCTCTAAAAAAACAAAAAATTAAAACTTTTTTTCTGACACCCATTTCACTCAAGATAAAATTGGGCTCCCCCAAACCGGGCACAGCCCCAAGGCAGGACAGGGGCCCCCCCAAGCGTGCTGAACTGGACAGCCCCCACCGCGCCCCTTGGCGGCGCGGGCGGCACGACCCAGGGCGGGCCCCTAGGCCCCGCCCCCCGGGAGCCACCAGCCAAGGCCCCGCCCCCCAGGGTCCAGGCCCCACCGCCTGCCTGGACACGCCCTCCAGGTCCCGCCCCTTCACACGACCCCGACAAAGCCCGCCCCCAAGCGGGGCCTCAAAAGCGCCCCGCTCCCCTGGGGGCCATCCCGGCCCGCCCTCAGCGCCCACCCGAGCCGGCTCGGAGACCCCCCCAGGGACCGCGTCCCTACGGAGCCTCCAAGGCTGCCCCCAGGAAGTCCAGGCCGCTAAGGTCTGTCCCGACCGGGGCCCCCAAACCAAACTATCTGGGCGCGTGGTCTCCCCACCCCACCGCGGCCCAGCAAGACACGCCCTCCTGACCCGCCTTCCCCCGCCGATTAAGGGGCCCTTCCCAGAGCCCGCCCTAGTGGGGCGCCCTCCGCCAGGCCCCGGCCAGCAGGCCCCCCATTCGGGCTCGGGGCCGGGCTGCTCCTTCTCCACTCCCCCCACCCACACCCTCCCCCTCCAGGCTCTTCCCGGGGAGATGGCCGGTCCCCTACCTTGAGGATCATGGCTCCAAAGAGGACGTCCAGAAGTCAGGGAAGAGGCTGGGTCGGGAGCACAGAGGTTATAATTATCATAATGACGAGAACGCTTTGCATACATCACCCCATTATTTAGAATGCCCATTTTATGAGAAGGCGAGGCTCTGAGAGCTCAGACCAGCTCTTGGCGGCTCCTCAAAAGCTTTGTTCTTGTCTGTCATCTGGGAGTCTGAGATGGGATGGCTTGAGCCCAAGAGTTTGGGGCCAGGCTGGGCAACATAGCAAGACCCTCCATCCCCCCCAAAGCACACACAATCTTCGTTCTTCATGGCCATGGGAGGTGGTCATCAGATGTGAGGCATTCTGGCCACACTGGTGGGGGCCATGTCTCGGAAACCTCCTGGGCATCCTCTCTGCCCTCTGGGGGCTTTGGCCTTGGCCTGCCAAGGAGGGAGGTCCCTGGAAAGGGTCTCCCCAAGACAGGGCAAGGGCAACAGGGAGCTGGTCACCGTGGACCAGGAATTCGGGGCCTGGGCAAAAGGGCAGGACTTGGAGCCCAGGAGAGGGGTGGGAGGTCAGCAGCCCCAGGTCTGACTGTCTCCCTCAGTCTGCCCATGGTTGGTGCGAGTCTCCTGCCACGTGTGTGCCTGCCTGGGTCCTCCTGTCCCTCTCAGTGCCGAGTCACCTGTCTGCGACTGTGTGGTTCCGAGCTCCGGCCCCCATGTGCACCTGTCTTGGGCTGTCTGGGTCTGCCTGTGTGTCTAGCTGTGTACACCAATCTCCCCTCTGTGACTGGAATCTGTCCAGCTAACTCCACTTTGTGGCTGGAG